GGTACACAAACGTGCCGTGGGCTCCGAGTGGAGCCCGCTGTCCACCCCGCACGACAGCCTGTTTGACGGGCATTACTCGGTGAGCGAGACGTTAGGGCCCGAGACATGAACAGTCACGCGGTTGAGAAGGTGGGAGGCAAGTGTCAGCTTCGTGTCACTTGGTGCTGAGGTGACATTCCTTACAGCAAAGTGCAGGAGGCTGCTCGCACGCTCGCTCGCTCGCTCGGGGCGGGGGGTGGCGGGCAGGAAGGCGGTCTGGGGGTTGCTCGACGCTGCAAGCGAGTCCCCGATGAGGGAGGGCAGCCGCCTTCCTTCAGGGCAGAGCTGCTTGTGACAGGCAGGGAAAGCCCCAGAGCCCCGCGGTTCCTCTAACGCAGCAGCGCTTGGCTTCATCGTTGAAGTTTTGAGGAAGTGAGCAGTAGTTGCTACTGGGTAGGCCCCAGGCCCATCCTGCCTCCCTCGCCAGCGTTGAGCAGTGCTGGATTTTTGGCTTCCCACGGCATGCTTCACAATTTACCATCTGTGGTATGTGTGAAACGTGTGGGGTCTTTAGCTTTTTCTGGAAGCTAGAAAGGTGAAAAGTACTTTTTTTTTTTTTTTTCACTCAACAATACTTGTTTGACGCTGACACAAACGTGTTCCAGGCCAGCCTGAGCTAGAGGAAGACCTGCCACGGTGGTTCGCTCCTTTTACTTCCTGCCTGGAATTATGATGCAGCTGTCATCCTTTTGTCGGAATCTGTCCTGTGGAGGTCTAAGCACAGCGTTCAGTGTTTGGTCTCTTTCCACCGCGAGTTCCTGTGAGCAAACTTGGGTTATCAGTCTTGCCTAGCAAACAGTTTTACCAGCTGAGTCATCTCAATTTAAAAAAAAAAAAAAAAAGAAAGAAAACCTGTCACTTTAGCCAGGTGTAGTGGTTCATGCCTGTAATCCCAGCCCTCAAAAGGCTGAGGCAGGAAAACTGCCAAGTGTTCAAGACCAACTTAAAAGATTTAACTGGTGTTCCAGAAATGGTTTCTGTGGTTTAAAGCACGGGCTGCTCTTCCAGAGGCCCTGGGTTCACTTTCTAGCACCGATGTGGCAGCAGCTCACAGCTGTCTGTAACTCCAATTCCATGGCTCCGATGCCCTCTTCTGGTCTCTGTGGGTGCCAGGTACATATACGTTTTACAGACATGCATGCAGGCAGATTTATTATGTATACAGTGTTCTGCCTGCTTATATACTTGCACACCGGAAGAGGGCACCAGATCTCATTACAGATGACTGTGAGCCACCATGTGGTTGCTGGGAATTGAACTCAGGACCTCTGGAAGAGCAGTCAGTGCTCCCAACCTCTGAGCCATCTCTCCAGCCTTCAAGTATTTTTAATTAAAAGATGTAATTGACTTGGAAGGGCAGCTTGGGAAAGATAGCTGCCATTTCACTAATTTGTTCATAAAATGAAGGCTTAATTTTTGTTTGTTGCCATGCTAGGAATCTAACCCAGGACCCAAGTCACACTTCCGGCTCTAGTTTGTAGTTTTTATCTTACGTGTATGGGTATTTCGCCTACATATATGTGCAAAACACTCACATGCCTAGTGCCTGTGAAGCCCAGAAGGTATACAGAGAACCCACAAGAAATTGGAGTTACAGACAGTTGTGAGCCACTGTGTGGGTCCTGGGAACCTCACTGTCCTCTGGAAGAGCAGCCAGTGCTTTTTAAAGCCCACATAAACAGAAGCTTATTTGGAGCTGATTTTTTTTTTTCAAGACAGGGGTTTTTTTCTCTGTGTAGCTTTGGAGCCTATCCTGGCACTCGCTCTGGAGACCAGGCTGGCCTCGAACTCACAGAGATCCACCTGCCTCTGCCTCCCGAGTGCTGTGATTAAAGGCGTGCGCCACCTGTGTGGTGCTTGCCACTATACACCTTGAGGCCAACCTCATCATTTCTAAGAATCTAAGTTTCCAGAGGCCAGAATGGTGGAGTGAAGTAAACACGGGCTTGCTGACACTACAGTCCACTGGGCCATGAGACAGGAAAAGGAAATAGAAGAAAATCTAACCTGGCCTCTAGGCAAGTGACAGCAAGTAAATGTTACTTGTTCAAAGCTGTATGTCGGAGCTGCCACTGGGGGCCACGAAGAACCTTCATTTCACAACCAGAAGATCTGGACTTCTTCCAGGTCACAAATACTGAGTGCACTCACTGGATCCAGGATCTCATGAGCCAGGAGCCTTGGGGTGGTGCAGAAAGAGGCAGTTCTACACACAGACATACTTGGGACAGCATCTGCCATGCCTTCCATATGATATAAGCATTCTTCTGTGGGAAACACATTTCCCCAGCTGGGTGCTGTGCAGACTGTTGGTGTCTGCCCCACTTGAGGACACTGAGAAGGCAGCTGCAGATAGCCTGCAAAGATGCAGGTCCCCACAGTTACTGCAGCTCACAAATATGGCTCCTGGAGTGTGCAAGTCTGTAGTAGAACCCATGCAAGAGTCTAAGAGGAGATTGAGAAACACTGGGTAGGCTGCAGTAGTCACCTTGGCCTCTGACCTATGTGGACTACACTGTGGATGGTTTCTGTGTAGTTTTCAGCTTCCACCAGGGAAGTCAATTCTAGCAGTCCTGTGGGAAAAGAAGAAGCCCTGAGCTGGGGGTGTGACCCAGTGGCTGAGTGATCTCTAGCATTTTTAAACAAAAACAACAAAAGCCCCACTGTATAAAACAACCCAGAAACCCTATGAGTCTTTAATGGTGAGAGAATGCTGGCTCACAGCCCTGAGTACAACAACCAAGCCACACAGGTTTGACTATGCTCTTCACCTGGGGGAGGAAGAGAGAGGTTTTCCAGAGGGTAACAGCACCTGAAAATATGTCCACATCCTTATTTGCAAGGAAATGTAGATGAAAACTCACCTTTGAGAACAGGCACAGAGAAGAAGCAATGAGAGTACCAGGGCTGGAGGTCTTTAATACTAGGAATGTAAAATGGCACAGCCACTGGGGAGCTGACTTTGGCAGGTGTAACTTACTTCCATTTGTCTTATTAATAGACAATTCTTCAGAATAATTTCAGGTTCACAAGAGAACCGAGCAAAAAAGTACAGACAGTTCACACTCTCCTGCCGCCTGTACCAACTTCTAGGCTGCACCTTCCAGAGGTGGGTTTGTTGGAACCAGTAAGCTTTCCCCCACAACTCATGTTCCTCCAAGTCGACAGTGTATGGGGAATATGGCAGGGCACCTTCTCCAGAGGGCTTAGTCCCGCGCATGAGGGAAGCCCTCCCCCCATGCCTCCTCATCTCTTACAGGCCCTGCCTAGCAATGCTATCACATGGGTACCGCTAAACCATACCAACATGGTACAGTCTGTGTACTGCTGTTGAGACAGTCTCCACATACCCTAGACTGGACTCCAACAAATCTTCATCTTCCTTTGTAAGCTTTCCTGGATGTTTCCTGGAAGTTACCTGGGGTTACAGGTATCCCACTGTGCCTGGCACGCTCCCTATTTATACTGATATGCACACACCGTACCAGCACCAGAGCTCACAATTCACCTGCACCCCAAGCCCTTCCCTCTTGCTTTACCAAAAATCATGCTGTATTTTAGTGCACTGTGGCCCTATTTAAAGGAACTTCTCTCAAAGTTCCGCCCCTCCCCATAGGGTTTCTCTGTGTAACAGTTCTGGCTGTCCCGGAATTTACTCTGTAGCCCAGGCTGTCCTGAAACTTGAGATCCACCCACCTCTGCCTCCAGAGTGCTGGGATTAAAGGTGTACGCCACCACCACCTGGCATTTCTTTCCAAGTTTCAAAAAAATAATTTTTGAAAAATGTGTGTGGAATTTTGCCTGATGTATGTAGGTGCACCTTGTAACTGTAGTTCTACGTTCCTGTGAGCTGCTATGTAGGTGCTGGGAACCAAATTTTTGTCTACTGAACTGTCTCTCTCCAACTACCGCCCATTCAATGGTGTAACTATGCCAAGGCCTGTGTGTGGAAGTCAGAGCAACTGTCAGAAGTTCAGGAGTTAGTCTGTCTCTTCTTCCACCATGTGAATCCTGGGGATGGAACTCAGATCACAGGTCAGGGGGACAAATGCCTTTACCCACTGAGCCATCTCATGGACCTCCCCACATCATTTCATGGCTTGTAGTCTCCTCTCTAACACTAACATTTGGTGGTCTGGATGGATGTACTTCTGATCACTCACTTGCTGAAGATCATGGTTCTATTTTTTTTATTTTTTAATTATTTATTTATATTTTATGTGCGAGTGCTCTGCATGTACACCTGTACACCAGAAGACGGCACCAGCTCTCATTCCGGATGGTTGTGACCACCATGTGGTTGCTGGGAATTGGAACGCAGGACCTCTGGAAGAGTAGCCAGTGCTCTCAACCGCTGAGCCATCTCTCAAGCTCGAGATCATGGTTTCTAACAAATACTTGTCATTACGATTCCAGCTACTGTAAGAATCTATGTGCAAGCTTGTCTGGATGTAATGCTGTTTAGGTAAATACAAAAGCCTGGTTGTCAGGTTGCTGTGGTAGGGTTGTATTTAGTTGGGGTTTGTTCTTGTTGAGACAGGGTCTCACTGTGTTAACTACACTGGCCTTGAACACAAGACTGTCCTGCTTTCCCCTTCATACAGGATGGCAGGTGTACAGCACCACAGGCATAGCATGTTTAGTCTCCTCCCAGCCCCCCCACCCCACCCCTCCTGTTGGTTTTAGACAAAGGGTTTTTCTGTGTAACAGCTCTGGCTGTCCAGGAACTTGCTCTGTAGACCATGTTGGCCTCGAACTCACAGAGATCTACCTGTCCTTCCCTCCCAAGTGCTGGGATTAAAGGCATGCACCACCACTGCCTGGCTAGTCTTCCTTTTTTTGAGATAGAATCCATGTAGCCTTGGCTGTCCTGGAACTCACTAGGTAGACCAGGATGACCTTGAACTCAGAGATCTGCCTGCCTCCCCTTCCCAAGTAAGTGCTGGGATTTAAGGCGTGTTTAGCTTTCTAAGTCTCTGCAGCTCTGGGTCTACCTTCACCATGTGGTACTTATTTTTCTAGTCTGCAGTTCCCTAATGCTCTGTGACAATGAGGACTTCTACAAGTGTCATTTCTGACAAAGTAACAATGTTTTGTTTTGTTCTTAAATGAAGTGTACTACTACCATGTGGCCCAGCTCGTATTTCTTAGGCATTTATCTAAGAGAAATGCAAGCTGATATACAGGCTAGGTGCAGTGACTCACACCTATAATCCCAGCAGGAAGGAAGCTGAGGGTGGGAGTTTTAAACTACATGAGATTTGACCAAAAAAAAAAAAAAAAAAAAAAAAAAACGCGGGGAAAAAAAAAAAAAAGTTTTTAAAAAAAACAAAAAAAAAGGTTCCCCAAAAAAAAGAAAACAAAAACAAACAAAA